GCTGAGGGTGCAAACATGTTAGAAGTGAGTTGACACAATGAAAGGCCTATGCATGATGTTGGGTAGAGTTTTGTACTGATCTTTGCTTAAATGACCTTAGGCTGTTAGGAGTTTCTTGTGTGAAATTTGCGACATTTCTTGTGTGACATTTGCCAAGACAAATGTTTCTAATAAATCGGAAGTTCTCCCTCAGATACTATTATGGATATCACTAAAGTACCCCTCTCACCGCGTCCTTCCTTGCCGCCCCACGTTCTCCCTTTGCACGTCTCTCCCCTGCCACCATCATTTTCTCCCAGGTGTAGACCCTTTGCTCACACCTACACAAACATACTTTCTAATCAGCTTCGCTCCTAACTCCCTGCTCTAGTCCGAAAGTTTAAGAAATTCAAAGTGAACCATTCATAGGGTCATGTTGGCCTCATCAGTAAGATTTCTTTACTTTGATCTTATGATGATTTAATTGTAAAAATGTTAAGAGTGAAGATCCATTCTTCCCACAAACATTAAATTTAAATGTGAAAAGTCCATTGATAGAAGTACAGAGAAATTGAGGACAAGTTCAGGGAGGTTAAAGCCATTCATATTTTAGTTATTCTCTGACCTCTCTTGCTTTGGTAGAGATGAGACAGTCACTCTAATCGCTTACTGTTTTTGACTTGTAAATTACTTTGGAGACAAAGCTTGTCTCATCTTCTCTCTTGGTTCAACCTTTTATTTCTATCGAAAAAGTACATTTAAAATTGCCTTGATGCTTGGGTTATTCATTTGATTAAATTAACCCAATAATACTGTTAAAGCTACTTTTAAAAAATATATACAAACAGAAGTATATTGTTCTTATTCTTTACTTTTAAATAATCAGTTTAGTACAAGAATACTCTGAACATACAAGTAAGTTAAAGTTTAGATTTTTAAAATATTTATTAAAAATAAATTTAAATTGCCAAGCCCATTATGTACACAACGTTACTTACTTATCACACAGCAATGGAAAGCCATATGGATTTTTATTCATTTGGAAATAGAACATCGCAAGAAGGTGGTTTGTTTTTATATTGCTTTTCAAGTTTTACTATAAATGAGTGATAACTGTATAGTCACAAAGCCTTAGTGTCTTGTATCCAGAGTTTTGGATTATTTAAACCAATTTCCAAAACTTTATTAATAAGAGAAACAAGAACTGGACGGATTAAGGAATTTAATTGAGAATGAAGAGTAGCCTTTTAACATATTTACCTGCATGGCAAATTTGCACATCTTGTTGCATTTACAAAGTTATGAAGAAGTTTCTTTCGCAAGGAAAAGTTATCAATTCTTTCTCAGGATACTCTGCCTACTGACATAAATAACTCTTCCAGTGGAGTACAGTGCATCGGTCAGTGCCTTGGGCAAGTTAATGCCCTTCTGTTAGATAGGTTCATTTAAATAAGCCATTTATATGTAGGTAACATCTCACTTTTTTAATGCGAAAAACTTGATTTTTGCACTAAAGTATGAATGTGGGTATCATTTTATATATTTATATCTATGTCCTAGTCTTTCCATATATGTACACATACATGTATGTATGTATGTATGTGTACATATGTATGTATGTATGCAAGGCATTTCCAAGCACAAGCTTTATTAGTGTGACTAAAACATCGTCATCATTCGTGTAATACCATACCTTGCCTGTTCAGCAATGAGGGAAATAATAGCATTTTGCTGTGCCCCTAATTTAATCAAAACAATGAAAATAGACTCAGAAGTTTAGAACGAGAAGAGAACTTAGATTTTATGTAGATATTATGAGCCTTTCATTTGACAGCAGAATCATTAAAATACAGTAGAATAAGTCAGTCTTAAAGAATGGCAGATGAAGCCAACTAAAGTTTTGTATCAGAATTCTAAATCAATGGATTATGAAAATTATGCTAACACACAAAAGTAAGCGTAAAAGGAAGTATTTATCACCAGACTCATTATGATGAAATTTTTATCCTGAACTCATACAACGTAGGAAAGTAAACAATTTGTTGGTTTTTATGTGTTCATTTTTCACTTGACTGAATTTCACATATTTGACTGAAGTCTTTTGTCTTTGAGTTTTTCCAAAACTTGGTTTGGTGAGCAGATTCTCATCAATTCTGTAGAAGGATTATAGAGAGAGAGAGAAAAAAATACAAAACTGTAGTATAAAACATAGTTATATTTAAATACCACAGGAAATTAATGCATAAAATAAATTTCAGGATTCTACATTCTTAAGAGTTGTCCTTGAATACAATTATTAGGAACTGAAAGGAATTTCTTTTCAGGTTAGCTCTATTAGAGTTATGTGTAATGAAAAAATGTCTTAGAAATCTATTCCAAAAGCCTTAGGTAGGGAACAAACATAATTCCTCTGTTTCTAGTTTCTGCAAACATGAGAAACTAACAGAGAATTTTGTAGGGGAGGCAGTCAGTGATAAGTCAGTTGAGTTATTACATATGTGTGTTTGAATTTAAGACAAGCTTCTTAGTCCGTAATCTCTTTCAGGAATAACTTTTTTTTTTCCCTTGGACATAAGCAAGGGCAAGTCTGTGCAGAAACTCCCTGCGAGAATCCTCTCTGATTCTAGCATGGGATGGAAGGGCAGGGGCTGGTCTTTCCGACCAAATCCGATGCTCTACCTTTCTTGGCCAGTAGGTTAGGTTTATGTTACTGCCAAGGGTGCGTGAAGGGATGGGGAGAGCCTTTGCTGTTATAGAAGCAGAACATTCCCCACAGCATTCTTCTGCTGGGGAATTACAGGAGCCGTGCATCCTCAAATTCTCCCATAAGAAGTGGGCTGGCAGGGGTCACATGTGGCTGCCACTGTGGGCAGCTGACTCAGACCCCCTTTTTCTCATTTCCCCCCAACCATGAATCATGTGCAAGTTCAAGGAGGTTAAAGCGATCCGTTCTTTATACCCTCACATCTCTGGTTCTTGTTGAAGGGGCAGATCACTCTAATCTCTGACTGCTTTTGACTTGTAAATTACTTTAGAGCAGTATTCTACAAAACTAGGGCTAAAGCATGTTATAGCAATCATATGTGTTTCCCAAAATTTCCTGTGAGGTGGGGCCGGATTTTATAACCCATTTCACTAATTTACTAAGTCACATTTAATAACTTCATTGGCACAAATATGGAGACATGAAATGAGCTTAAAATTTGGTTCATCTGACTTTTCACTGCCTTGACATATATTTGAGATGTGAACAGAGAACTGAGGCGTTAATCTTGTGAATGTGGAAATGCACCCAGTTTCTTGAGTGCATCGTATTCTGTCTTCTTTTATCCTTTTGTTCAAGCTGCTCTTTTGCCTGGAACTGGCTCGCCCCCAGAAACCTCCATCTGTCCTGTAAGACTGACCTCCGGTGATTTCATCTCCAGAAGCCTTTGCTACCTGCCCCAGTCTTTTTTAGATGCAGATGTCTCTACTACCTTAAAACTTGTTCCCTGCAATGACCACAGTCTGTCTGTTCTGCGACTAGACTCTCAGCTTCTAAAGGACAGAGATTCCAATCGGTGTATCTAATGTGAGTGTGGTACCCAGCTTAAAGTAAGCATTTGGTAAATGTTTGCTGTACTTCAACTAACAAGGATATTTTAATGGGTTAAATTGTCTCAAACTTTTGTGGGTTATGCCACAGAGAGGCTCAAGATTGTATAAAAAAAACCAAACCAAACTAAGCACTAAATTTGTCATCAAAATAAATCAGTAGTTAAAAGCATATAGAAATTTAAGTAACAAAAAATTAGGCTTCAGCTGGTAATTGCTCCATTTTAAAAACAGCTTCAACACATTTTTTTTTGAAATGATGCAGAATGTAGATAAATACTTAACAGATATTTATTCCAGCTGCAAGTCCTATGCCAAGGTAACCTTAGTAAGTGAAGTGAATCTGGTAAATGACTCAAAACTTTTATTGTTTTAAGTATCTGCAGATTGGGTTTTATTAATCCCTTTAGCTGAGAATGACATGTATGCCATTCACTCTATAGAGCATTTACTTCCTAGGACTAAACAATTACAGAATCATCATCATTGAGATTTAAGAACCCACAGGATACTGTGATGGGGCTAGTTCTATGTATATAGCTTACGTAACCGAGGCGGATATTTGAAACTCTATTTTTTGTGATCCCAAAGTCTAAAAAACCTAGCAAGTCCTTTGAAGATGGGTGCTAGGTCTAGGGTTAAAACTGGAATATGGAAATTTACAGCACCTGAGATCTGTCATGGTTTTTGATGACCATGGGAAGAACTTTAATCGATTTTGTACAAGGCAGGATCAGTTCCATTTTGCTTGAGCATTTAAAGCCCATTCCACAGAGACTTGTTCTTGGCGGACATCTCCCAAATTAGACGTCACTTGGGTTTTATGCCTCATGCAGAGTTTAAAGGAACTGTATACTTGATCAGTGAGATTATACCAGAGGCCATAGGTAATGAAATTGGCTAGGTATTTAAACACATAGCAGAGACAGCAACTGCTACTAGCTCTTACGAATTGCTGTCACGCTAGCGGTTGCGATGCAGCATTGTTCGAGTTTACATTTGTTTTCTGCAAGAGAGCCCTAACATCCAGATGTTTTTAAATGTAAAAAAAAACCCTCTCACTTCAAGGTGGCAGTGAGTGCTCTTTTTGAAAAATAGTGAGTCAGTCCTGTTTTCGATGAACAGAACGTATCTGCTGTTTTCCCCATGTTGTCTTACCCACTTCGCGCCTGGGAGAGGAAACGAAAACGGAGCCAAGCAACTGGCCGTTTGTGCAGGGCCTGTCGTATCTGTGACAGCTGACAGGCAGGAGCACTTGCTATGGGATGAAACTGCTCTAGATGCTGGTGCTTCATTTAATCCTCATGAAACTCGATGAAGTGAACACCATCATTGTGTCCACGTGAAATTCTCTCCACATTAACCATTGTTATCTCCACATGAAGAGCTGGTCAAGTTACACAGCTGCTAAGTGTTGGAGTGTGGATTCAAATCTGGGTCTAGCTCCAGATTTGGGGCTGTTTAACTCTATCCACTGTAGGGTCTCCTGTACACAACTTTGCACTTGGGAAAATAAAAAGTACATAAAAGAACTTAGTTTTTGCTTTTACTTATGGTATTTGTTTTACTTTTTCTTTTTTAAAAGATATTTTATGCCTAAGGGGGAGTTTCATTATGCTGCAGATAAACATTCATATAAAGAATAAAATCTTACAGAGGAGGCATTGATGAAATAGAATATAAATGAATTCTAACTAAGTGCACCCTTCCCAACTCAGAAAGAAATAAATTGTTAATTTATTTCCCTTCCAAAAAGGCAAAAGGCAGTAAAAATATTAACACTGACCTGGTCTGTCTGTCTCTACAGAAGTTAAAAGAAGCACACCTATATCCGGGAGGGTTGAGATGGTCTGACAGATGCTCTTCGCTACGAATTAAAACCAGAAAAAATGTTAATGCTACAATTTTCTAAACTTAGACAGTAAATAAAAATTCCTCAAATTAAGAAAAAATTTTTTTTGGCTTAAGTTTGTTTTGATTAAAATTCACTTTGTAGAGGTCTTTTGTGGAAGAAATGACTATTTCACAGATATTTACAAACTTTAATTTAAACTTTTATTTGTATTTCTAATAGTATTTCTTATTTCCATAGGTATATTATTCCCCTAGACATTGACTCTGTCATATTTCCCTGCTGTAGTGGAAAGCTCAAATAGAATTTTTTTTTAAAGATACATTTTCTTAGTCATATTGACCATGACCCAATTCTTCTATGTCCATATAGAAGATTTTCTCTGACTTTTACCAAGAGATGTCATTGACTTTTTTAGATTTTAGGTCATCAACCAAGGGAGAAGACAACAGTTTGCCATCTATACCAAATACAAGGAGATAACTTTTTCCCCAATGTTCAAATTGCCAACAAGAGGAGTCATCTTTTATTCAAGTCCTTACAGAATCTCTCATATTAGAGAAGACACTGTCAATTACTTCTATTAAGAAAGTATTACTTAGAGAAAATACATTTACATGGAGTAATGCTAACCAAACACAGGTTTGGATGTTCATAAAACTCACCTAATAGAAATAGTTAAAAACGAAAAGGACAGAAGAACTTAATGTAGGTTTACTATCAACTTGTTATAGACCTGCCATTACAGTGTTGCCTCTCTAAACAAGCCTTTTTAAAAGAATACATACAGTGGTTACAATGTGGAGAGCACAAAGAGAGAGAAACAGTAGAGGGTGGGTGAGAACCACATCATTCTTTTGAGACGAGGCACCTAATGATCTATAACAATAGTTCCAATTATTAGCATTATAAACACACAAATGTGGCATCTGAATTGTCTTAAATAGGTTATAGTGAAGGTTGTGTGCTTTGGAATGCTATCATACAGACTTGAAATTAGCTTTAGTGATTAAAAAAAATCGTTAATGCTGGAAAGTTCATAGGTGGAGTTTGAAAAATTTGTCTTAGGAAATATGAGAATAAGGCAAATGTTTTAAACATGCATAAATATGTTATTTTAAGTAATTTTTCATATACAAATTAAATAAACTAGATACTATAACTAGAAACTTGGCCATTTCATCCATATCCTTTAAAAAATACTAAATTAAGTTAGACAAAGCTTTTGAAGGACCTTTCACTGGAAAATGGGGATCGATTTTTATTTGTGGTTTTTTAATAGGGCAAATGCTAAAAAGAAAAATTTCTGCTGGAGTAACTCAGTCACTTCTGTGTGTCCAGCAGAAAAAGGTGGAAGGTTTGTTTTTATGTACAGAATTTTACATTTTTAATATTTGGTTAAACAAAATACATCTTTTGTAAACAAACCCAGCACAAGGCCAACAAAAAAAGGGGAATAAAAGCAAGAAAAACAAAAAGCCTAAGGTTGCCCCTTACTGGGCTTCAGGGTCAGACCTGCCCTCTTCCTTACAGGAAGGGGGGCTTTTGTCCTTGGGCATCAGCACAGGTCCCTGTTCCTAAGCACCAGAATTGGGTATGAACAGAGAAACCAACCCTGAAATGTTGTAAGCATCTCTGCATATGCCATGGGCTCATGGGCAATGATGTAGTTTCATGCAGTTTTGTTTCTGTTTGAGTTTAGTTAAACCCAGAGGAGTAAACCCTCCTAGAGCTACTCACACCAGTACTTACAGCAGAATTAAAAGCTGAATCCTCACCTTTATGTTTACCGATAAGTAAAAACTTAGGAGGATAATTCCAATGATACCAGCCATCACCGCAAAAACAATGACTGTTATTACTGCGGGAGAAAAAGAAAGCAGCAAAATATAAAAATGTGAAATAAAGGACTGCATAACAGTTGACAAATAAAACAGGCAAAGTCAGGGTAATATCGCTTTGCCTTTTTAATAGAAAGTACATTAGTAAACTTTTATGTATATTTTATCTTTTTAAAAATTAGATTTTTCACAGTAACCATGTGGGAAACTGGAACTTAAAGTGGTAAAATCTTTTGTCCGAGGCTACAAAACTACTGACAGAACCAAGACCCAGGGGCTTCAATTCCAACCCCCATGTTCTTTACAGGGTCTCCCAAGTGTAATTACGGATGAGAGCTGTGTGGACCTTTTACGCCAACGTGAGAAAAACCACGAACTCTTTCAGTGTTTCAAAGGTATGGGAGAAAATAATGTCTCGATGTGTAAAGGGGTATTGGACAGATCGTAGAATCAGCAATTTGGAAGGAAACTGGTATAAGCAGTTCAGAAATGAGGAAGCCTAATGGGTTTGAGTTACTTATCCGAGGTGGGACAACTAGTTAGAAGCACACTGGTAACTACTGTCCAGGTCACCTGTAGTCTAAGCCTCTGCTCCTTCCACAGTATCTTTACACATAGTCTATAATAAAATCACTAAAAATCTTTTCCATGTTGGGAGTGAAACACAATTTAAATTAGAGACCCTCTCACATATTAGTAGCATATTTATTTGACTGATTTATATTTAAAAGCCTTTTTACTGATACAAAAAAGTAAAAGTAGCTTTTCCTCTCACTCGTATTGCCCAACCTTTCTCTCCACTTAGCTTTAATTTGTGAGATAATGATTCAGTTGTACAATTCATTTATTATGGTATGAAGTATGGGCACAGGCCAAGTGTGAGGGGAGGCTTAGAAATACGGAAGAGTAAAGAAGCGTGTAAATGAACCAGCGCAACACCTAAGAAGGGAGCCACAGCCCCCAGTTATAGCAGGTTGAGAAGATAGCCCCAAAGTGATAGTATGGGGCCAAAAATGAATCTGGATTGAGGCATGAATGGTCTATATTTATTCTGGATGTGCTGCCAATTAATTGCTTTCTTTATAGTAGCGAAGGGAGACGTTCAATTGTTTTATAAGCTCTTAGACTTTTCCCATGTACCCACGGTTGGTTAGCAAGCTAAAAAATATCTAATTTTTAAAAAAATGAGAATTAAGTTATGTGTTGGTGTTTTCAAATGTTTAAGGAAATTAGAAATACCTATTGTAATTTTAAAAAGAACATATTTTGTTTACTTTTACAATTTTGTATGACAAAAGTCAATAACATGTACTCTTTTGTTTTTAAAATAAACTGGTGGTTACCAGTGGGGAGAAGGAAGAGAGGGTGTAATACAGGGCTAGGGGATAAGAGGTACAAACTATTTTGTGTGAAAGAGACTACAAGGATATATTGTACAGCATGGGAATATAGCCAATAGTTCACAAAAACTATAAATGGAGTATAACCTTTAAACTTGTGACTCACTATATATAATATTGTAACTTATATAATATTGTACATTATATAATATTATACATTAACTATACCTCAATAAAAATGAAAAAAACAGCAAAAAAAGAAAGAAAATAAACATAAAAAATAAAATTGGTGCTTCTTATTTACATAGGCATTTGAAACTAGCAATACGCAATTTAAAATGCAATGATCATCATTCCATGTCAAATACTAACATACCTGGTGCTGAGAATGGGGGTTCATATTGTGGCCCTGCTTCTAAAAAGACAAAATTTCAAAATAAAGTCAGAAAACATAAGTCATATTTTTAAAAATACCGTTTTGGCATTAGACTGCTCAGTGGGTTTCTTTTCCTTAACTGTGTTTGGAGCGCTGTTGTTCAGCATTCAACAGTTAGCCGGTAAAAATTATGGGGGGAATGTGTCAGTCTTAACTTTAGTAATTCCAGTATCTACTTTCAACTATCCAGCGAGTTCTCATGAATCAGAAATTAGCAAACCATCTCACTAACTAAAGGGAAGGGTATGAGAAGGTTGGAAGAGCTGTTGACTTCCACTAGAAGCTGTGCATTTTTTCAAAAACATAAAATGGTGAGCAGAAAGGAGACAGACTGAGCCATCACTCCACATGGACATCAGTCCAACCCCAAAAGAGGTCCTGTTGCTGTCAATTTTCCAAATCTATGCCACAGCCACTATCAGAATTCAAGCCCTCACTGTGTCTTAGCGGAGTGTTTGCCAGCAGTCCCACTAGGTTCCCATCCTGCAGAAGTTTCTAGTACCATTGCCTTAATGCTCTGCTAGAGTTAACTTCTCCCTTATCAGTCACATCTTACATTTCTTTTTCTGCTGTCTCTGAATGCCATTTATGTCAAGAAGCCCCGTTACTACTATTGCTACACAATTTTCTTGAATTTAATGATTACAAATAACATGTTACAGTATATTGCATGACACAGTCAAGGACTCCGTTATGTTTGGTCGTTCTTCAGCAGGTATGCACAGACGTGAATTGGGCTTGTCTTCTTGATCTTTGTGGCAGGTGATAGTTGCGGCTGGTGTACGAGCTCTGGATCAAGACAGAATCGGCTTCAGGCACTTGTCTGCCTCTTACTAGTTGTGTGGCCTTGGACAAGTGACTTAATTTCTCTGTGCTTTAGTATTCTCTTGGGCAAATGAAGATGATTCTGTCTCTACGAGGATAAAATTCAATAATGCATGAAAACACTTACTACAGTGGTCCACCATGCCCGTGATCATTTATGAGATTCAGGGCATGTGTGTTTGTAGTTGGCCCATAAATGCTTTCTGGTTTGACACTGTCATGTCGGCTTCACACTGAAATCACTTTGAAAATTAGATTGTGTAATTGGACCCAGAAGCCTAATAATGAGTTCTAAGCACTTAGGCTGATTTCCCTCCCTTGGTCTCTGTTCTTAAAATCCATCGCTTCCATTTACCTCAGGGCATTTTCTCAGTGTTTCTATTAGCTAATGATCCAGTAGCATGCTTAGTCTTCTTTGAGGCTTTATTTTAAATCCGGAGGATCCTTCTGCTTAAACCCCACTGACAAAAGACCCTCTCCCTTCTACATTTAAGCAGCTCTAATAAAGCCATCTTCTTTTCCCTAGAAAAATAACCAGAGAAAGAGATGCTGCCTGACCACCCTTATCTCAGCACTCAGCTTGGCTTGTACTTTAATAGGCACTTCTGATGTGTCAGGCTTGGAGCCAAGCAATTTTACACACAATTTCTCATTTAATCTTTAGAGAAACACTACGGGATAAGTATAATGAGCCCCATTTTCAAATTAAGAAGACAGATGCCCTTTGGGGAACTCAGGGTTCAGCTCATGCGGAGTCAGCAGCGGGGGCAGGGCTAAGCCCAGGGCTGAGTCCAGCTGGATTTGACCACAGGCTCTCCTCACCACTGCTCTACCAGGTCCCTTTTATCTGCCACCATTTCATGGTCACATTCATCATTTTTGTGGTCTGCTGGATTGTTTTAATTTCTTTAACCTACAGTATTATTTCTGTGAGCCTTTCCAGAAGTGAGAATTCCTCTAGAGGAGGGACTCTTGTCTACTTCACTTCCATTTCTCAGTCTTTGTCACAGTTTCCCAACAGTGACAGGTCGCATTCAATAGATTTGCATCATAACAATGACTCCAGAGCAACTATTTTAAAATTTGAACAAACCTTGGGGCACTTGTGTCAGGCCTGGAGTTGGAGTTGGAGCTGCAGGACCTCCAGTAGGAGTGGTTGCTGTTGAGAAGTTCCCGGAAAGTGAAATGGTATAAAAGAGAAATTAAGAAAGGGATTAAGAATGAGGTGATGAGTGGATAAAAGAGCATCTAACAAAAGACACAGTGATCTCACCTCTCTTCCAGTGGCAGGTCCAGAAATTCTACATTGCAGGGCCCGACAGATGAGGAAAGTGGGCCTTGATTACCTCATTTATAAAAAGGTACTACCTGCCTCAAAATGTCACTGTGAGGACTGAATGAGTTTAATAAGTATACATGTGTGGATATATTCACCCACACACATTCCGGTTAGTATAGTACTTGGCATGTAATGAATATTACATTCACGTTGGCTGTAGTCATTTGCATAAAGGGGGAGACTTGAAGCTGTATTTGCATTGCATTTTATATAACTGGAAATCTGTCCATGTTAAAGAAAGATGGAAACTCACGGCCGTTACACAAACACTAAAGTTCTGCCCCATGCCTCCCTGCCTCCACCTCCTGGGTACAGTCTTACTTCCACAGGAAAAATGAAAACAAAGACACTATTAGATTCGATTTTCTTCTAGCTGGATAGAGGGTGAGTCAATTCTAAGGTCCCCCCAGTGTACTTCTTTTCTCTCTTTCAAAAGTAGAATTTCAGAGTTGTAATAGAATTGTAGGAAATGCTGGCTCCGGTCTCTGATTACTGGCTGAGGATCCAGATAAGCAAGTGATGTAATGAATTCTAGGTCATGATTATTCTTTACCACAAATATATATGCACACAAATATGAATACTGGATATGTATTCTCCTGTATTTAAAAAAACTCAATATATAATATATTGATTTTTATGATTAAGCAATTATGTATTTATTTTAAATAAGTTTTATACATTTAAAATTTATAAATTACTTTATAAAATTTTATCAACTAAATAAGATTTTTTAATTGTGAAAGCAATATAGATTCAACAAATTAAAATTGGGAAATATAAGAAAGGTCAAATAAAAATATAAAAACCATCTTTCATTCCACTACCCAGAGAAAGACATTGTAGAATATATCCCTTAGATTCTTTTTTAATTTTTCTAATGTAAGTACTGGGGATTGAACTTAGGACCTTGTGCATGCTAGATATGCACTCTACCACTGAGCTAGACCCACCCCCTTCAGAGACAGACACTTTAAACATTTTGGTATATAGCGATCTGAACTTTTAGCTGTTGCATCTAAATATGGAATCATTGTGTTTAAATATGTATCAATATGTAAATAGTGTTTAAAAATATACACCATGAACATACATCCTATATTTTGAATACTCTTCTATTACAAGATTTTTGATGGCTGCATAGTATTCCATTATATGAATATTGTAGTTTATCAACCTCTTCAGCATTCATGTTACTTTATTTTTATGAGAGTTATAAACCATTCTGACATAAACATCAGTGCACTAAACTCTCTGGATGTGTCTCTGCTTATTCCTTTGAGACCTTCTAGTGAAGGAACTGGCATCCAAGTATGATGGCATGAGAGTAGAAGGGCACCTGCAGACACTTCCCAGGGACTGCATAACCTTGACTCCTCGGCTAAACACGGTTTCCTGGAGAATCCACAAAGAACGGAAAATGTCTTGGGCACATCTGATCAGTCTACTTAAGGACAGTGTTCCGAGACCTGTGTCTTTCTACCAGCTGTCACCTACTCAGTTTACCCTCGAATTGTTTAGGCAGGAATATCCTCCTGTGGCCCCATCTTGGCTCACTATCTGCTATTTAGGTCTCAGTTCAAAGCCATTTTAATTGGGAGGTCTTCTCTGACCTCCCTAACTTAGAGTTAGACTAAACACTCCACAAAGTCCCCAGTGCTTGGCATGGTGGCAAAGTCTCAATGAAATCTTAATGACTGACCATTTAGAATCCAGATGTGTTCTGTAGGCCTTGATGGTTACTTGGCACCTTGGGTATTTATTCACTTGTGTGTTCATTTACAAAAGAGTGTTTTGGCATGCCTACTTTGTACTAGGAATACAATAAATTAATAAATAATTCATGGTCTTTCCATCGAAGAGATTCCAGCTTAGTAAAGAGGGAGAAAATGTAATCTAAGTGTAACGAAGTACTTTAGGGGAGTAGGGGCACAGAGGAGACAGTGGTCAATTCTATCTGAAAAGGAAGGAGGTGGAAAGACCTCATAGAGGGGTTCTCTGAACTCACCTTGAAAGAAGTCTAGGATTTCATCCCACCAACTCTGTGGACATTTAGGTACAGAGTCAGCAGGGTCAGCGATGTCCTGGAACTTGAGATATCATCACAAGTTGGGGGAATTGCAACTATCTATGTGGTTGCAGCATGTGATGTGAGAAGCAGAGGAAATAGTGAAATGATGTGTTATGGGGCCATGGTGTGGACTTTGGACTTTAAGGTGGTAGAAGGACAATGAAGGGTTTGAACCAGATTTTCATTTTGGGAAGATCACTGTCAATAGCATGAAGGATGATGTGGAGGGGTGGGGGAGACATGCCCAGAACTCTTAATAAGAGGATCCCATCTTGTGTTCGACAGAGACCAAGATAAGCAGTCCTTTGGCACACGAGGCACTCCTCCTTAGAGAGTCCTTATCACTTGTAGGCCTTGCCTTTGGTGCAGAAGGCCTGTAGATTAAGGGCTTAAAGGGACAGAAAATTATAGCAAGTTGTAAAAAAGACGGCAAAGACCCAACAGTAGGATCTAACATCTCTTAAAACTGGCACTTTAATGCTTTTAATTTCAAACAAGGTCAGAGAAGGGGGAAAACAGTATTTTCAAGGGATAAGCAAAATCTATGTAACTTTTTTGCTATCGAAAGGAGAAAATGCTTAGGTAGAGAGAGCTCATTAAAAAGAGTTTCGAACTTTATCAAAATAATTTTAACCCTCTAGCAAATAGATAGAATTCTTTCTTTTCCAGCCGCTATTCCTCAGTGGGGAGGAGCATGTAGTGGAAATTTTGTTCCGAAGAAGTAGAGGCAGAAGTCCCAAGGCTCTAAATTGAAGTCAGAACTCAGGAATATCTAATATTGAAGGCAATACGTTGTTTAGAGTAACACAGTCACAGTCCTTGCAATTTCAAACAAATTGTGCAGACTTTAGCCAAGTCCCATCTGTGAGCGGCATATTCTGTAAAAAATGGTTGGTTGCCAAACTGATTTGAGGCTGAAATTTTCCACTTATGATCTTAGAAATACTTGCTTTAATTCTCCAGATTTAATTGTCTGATACAATTTCATAACACGGTCACCTAAAACCACCAGTACAGTAAGTAAATAAATACTTATTTATAGTAAGTAAATAAATGATCTAAGAATAACTTGATAAAAAATATTTTTAACATCATTTCCTTAACCATCTAATTTCGGTAGCTGATCTGTAAAATGGCCTTTGTCATAGTTAGTTTTTCTTCCATATTCTGAAAAAATACATAACCTTGTAGAAGTATTTCAATAGGGATTAATACCTGTGCTTGGTGAGTGGTATGAGGAATGCTCAGAGGCTTCAGAGTTCCCAGTGTCAGTTTGAAAGGACACAGGCTCTGATCACTCAGATAAGCTTTTATATTTTCTAGGATTTAATTGCATTTAAAGAACATGCTGGTTATTCTAAAATAGATTCACAATTAAAGAATTTAAAGAAGCTTATCGAGCACCTCAAATTAAATAAACCAACCCCTGGTTGGAAGATGTCACTCAGGAAAAACAAAAGAAATGTCTCTTTCTACATCCTCAGATGCTTAAGCTACTTTCAAAATCCAAGGTAAGGAACCCCAAGCTCCACAAAACATATCCCTAGCAAGCACCAAGAATGTTCTAATGCTACATTGATAGCCCTCATGTCTATCTGACGCTCCCAGGTTCCTAAGACCCTAATCAGCTAATAGACATCTGGGGACATGTTCAGTAATGCAGAGTTGCAAAATTTCTGTGACTAAGCTTATTTTAAACAGGGCTTTTTACAACAGAATCTTCCACTGGGCCATCTGAGCAAATATGTTACCATTAAGCAATGGACGCAGTTTTCCTGAACCTCTTAGGGCCTGGATTACAGAGGGGTCTCTCTTCTGCTTTCTGTCCTCTTATGCTCTGGGCCCCTCCCTTTCTGTAGCTAAATCAGCTTTCAGCTTGTCTGCATTGTTCCCTGAGTAAAGGTCAATCTAAATATTATCCTAATTAATTCAAAATGTACTTTTACATATTACCATACAAGGTCTCTTGGAACATCTACTCCAACTTCCTTACTTTACAAAGAAGAAATTTGATATTGTGAAAATTGGATGATTCGCTCAGTTTAACACAGCTGGTATGAGACAGACTGAAACCTAATTCTGCTGCCTTGCAATAATATGCCCACTTCCTAAGTTTCTGCCTGGTTGAGATCTTGTCAGCAAGATTTCCTTCGTGTTTTAGCATATTAGTTGGTGAACATTAGGGTGCATGGTACACACAAAAAAGACAACTAAATTCCTTGAGACTCCCAAACATCCTGTGAACTAGAATTTTTATAATAATAATGCAGTCTTCATTTTGATGACTTTTTACACAAATTTTTACAATTTATTGCAGTTCTTCCATTATCTCTTAGCCCTCAGTGTCTTCTTGCTGTAACCACCGAGAAAAACTGTTTTCTGCTCTAGCAATACTGATATGAGGGTCCTTTTCTTAATTCCCCACTTCTCTTGTGGGAACACATCCAGACTATACCTGAAAAACTCCACCTCTCTGCCCAAGAGACGCACATTTAACTTGAGATATCATGGAAGATGTATCCAGCATCTGACCAGCCTGGAACAGAGATGGGCCTTGAGCCAACCCTGCACATTTCCTTAGCTGCACTGGGCTCTGAAAACTTACACTGGAGTCCCTACCCCACACCTTCTTGCGGTGAATCACTGGCTGAAACTTGAAGGATAGGTAGAGTTTTTGGTGGAAATGTGGAGGAGGAGGAATTAAGGTAAAGGAATAGCATGGGATAAAATACGGAGAAAGAAAGAGAGT